ATCCGCGCCACAGCGTCGCCAGGAGGCAAGAGCAGCCAACCGTGCTCTTGGACCCTAACCCTAAGGGTCCATGTACCCAAATAGTAGAACATTGGCCTTAATGTAGTCCCTATTTGGGTACTTTAGGGCTTATGTTCTAGTATTTGGGTACATGGACCCTTAGGGTTAGGGCTCTACGGGATTGGGGTTCGAAGCTTTTGTGGTGAAAAACTTGAGGGATGAAACTTGAGCCTCGGGTTTGGAGGTGAGACAACCCTTGCAAAGGGCCCCCGGAGCGGAACCCAGGGCATGAAGTCGAAGGTTCATAGGGTTTAGGGTTTCAATTCAGAACAGTTCGGCCTCGAAAACAATGCTCCATGTACCTACCTAAATAGAATATACTTTTAGTATAGGCTTCTAAAGGAGATTCTTATACACCTTAAGGCCTAAGCATAGACTATACAGGTGCGTGAAACCTGAAAACCCCGAGACAGATGGACTAGGATCCCAACCCACTCAACTGTTAGGGTTTAGGGTTTAGGGTTTACGGTTGAGGGCATTTAGCTTAGGGTTTAGAGTGTGGGATCTTCCGATTCAGTCTTTGGGGCGTGTCGGGTTTACCTAGACCACCAACAACCTACCTTTTTAGGGACTGATATATAACCCTAAGGGTCCATGTACCCAAACAGTATCTCAGTATATATTTTGGCCTGAACGTAGTCCCTATATAGGTACTTTAGGGCCAATGTTCTACTATTTGGGTACATGGACCCTTAGGGAAAGGAAATCAGAATAAGGAGGCCTAAAAAGTATCCAGGTAGGGCTTCTGGGGTCTTAAGGCTTAAGGCGTTTACGGTTTAAGCTTTTGGAGGAAGCACTCGGCGTGTAGAGTAGACCTCTTGTGCCAGCCGTCCTCTCGAGTTCCATCAATTAGGGAATATACCGTCAATCATATGACCAAGATCGCCCTTAGTCCCTTAGTGTACATTTAAGGTATACTCCATCATTAAGGGTTTTTGGAGTCACTGTCTGGGTAGACGCCCCTGAACCCTAAACCCCAGACCCTGAACCCTACATCAGACGCCTTGCCTCTAAACCCTAAACCCTATAGACCCTAAACCCTAAACCCTAGACCTTAAACCCTAAACCCTAAACCCTAAATCCCGAAACCCTAAACCCCAGACCCTGAACCCTCAACCTCTACCTTGAAGATGCTGAGCGCACCGCCAAAGTCAAAGCCCGGCAGGTCCCTCGCGGTTTGGGGCTTAGCGCTTAGGGTTTAGGGTTTAGGGTTTAGGGTTTACCCTAAACCCTAAAGCCTGGGTTTAGGGTGACCCTGGGTTTAGGGTGTATAGCGGTTTAGGTTCGCCAAAAAATCCTCCCGGAAAGCCCTTTTTTCCCGGTTTGGGGGCGCCTAAACACGAATTTTCCTTCCTGGTTGGGGGGTCCCCTGTGTTTGTACGAGAGTAGTATCTTCGCTACTCGAGCAAACACTGGGGGTCAGTTCTGGGGCCTTTTTGCTACAGTACTATACGGAAATTTACGTCCCGCCCGGTTTACTTGAGGATCCGAAACCCTGTCTTTTTGAGGGTTAGACCCTATAACTAAGGGGGCGTAGCCTTCTAGGGTTTGGGGCTGCGGGTAGAGATTGGGATTCAGGGTTCACAAGCGCCCCCCAAACCCTAAATACCCACTGTTAAGGACCATAAGCGCTCCATTAAAGGGTACTTCGGGGGGGTGCTGGTAAACCCTAAACCCCAAACCCAAAACCCTAAACCCTAAACCCTAAACCCTAAGCGCTAAGCCCCAAACCGCGAGGGACCTGCCGGGCTGAAGGTTTCAGGCTTTCGCGTTTATGGTCGAGGTCTGAGTTCCTTAACCGACCAAAACCTATTTTGTGGTAGGTTTAGGGTTTAGGGTTTAGGGTTTAGGGTTTAGGGTTTAGGGTTTAGGTTCTCATTCGCCTCGGCCCCGGCCGAAGCGGTCACAGGTTCCTATTCGGATTCCCCACCTCTGAATCCCCTCCCCAGTGATCCCCACCCTCCATAGGGGCCATCGTGGCGGGGGGGGGGTGTGTGCGGGGGTCGTCTCTGTGAGCTCGGATCCAGAGGCTTTTGAGTCTGCCGCCCCACCCGTTCGCCCCGCTTTCCCGCCATTCTTGCTGCCATTCTTTTGCTTTGTTCTTTCGATTCTTGTTGCTTGCTTTCCACCTTTTTTCCTTTCCTTGCCCGTCCCAAGCGCACTGGCTGAGAGCGGCAGCCGTCGATGCGCCGCAAGCACTGGGTCACGTTTGCATTCGCGCCGAACCCCCCTAAACCCTAAACCCTAAACCCCATAAATGAGCCCCTCGGTCCAGCGGCGCCTATGTGTGCAGCCGGGCCGAGGCGGGCGATTCGAAGCGTTTAGAATTAGAAACCCTCATATGGTTTTTTATAGGGACCCCACAAAAAAAGTAATTAGGTATTGGTAGTTTAAGGTTTAGATTTAGGGATTCGGGGCTTAGGGCTTCAGGCTTGTAGGATTTAGGGATTCGGCTTTAAGTGCTGTAGGAGTCAAAGATTTGCGGTTCAGGGTTTAAGGGTCTTCTGGGATTGGGGGCTTTGGGGCTGAGGACTTTCTGGAGTTGGGCTTAGGGCTTTGAGGTTTTGGGGCGTACCTCGAGAGTTTTGAGTGTTTAGATGCTAAGCTTCTGCAGAAGCATATAAATAATCCTGTCCATGGCTGTGAATAGGTACGTAGTACTTAGTAATGAGACAACCCAACACCTCACTTCTGTTCATTCAGGCCCCTGTGGTAGTAACCCTAAGGGTCCAAGTACCTAATAATCATATACTCTCCCAAGTAGTATCCTACTGTACATAACTACTATCCGAAACCTAAGTACCAGATTATTTGGGTCCTTTGGACTCTTGGGGGTAAGCCTTATAAAAACCTTGAAAGAACCCTCTCATTTGAAGCTTTGATCCCCTACGGTTTAGGGTTTAGGGTTTAGGGTTTAGAATCCTTCAGCCCTCCGCCGTGTCGCCTGGGCTCTGGGGGTCGTGTCTCCTCAGGCACCGCTTCCGCATCGTCCTGGGGAGGGCTTCTTCGGGAACTTATCGGGGCTACATATGAAATGTTTCGGGTTTAGGGTTTGGGCGTTTATACCTATCCCTAAACCCTAAACCCTAAACCCTGATTAAGGGATCCTCATATCCGGGCGCCCTTATAAGGAAACGGGGTTTACTTATCAGAGGCTTCAGGGTACGGCAGAAACCCGGCGAGGGTTTAAGGACTCTGTTGCTTGTGATGCAAGCTACTTTGTTCAGGTCTAGGGTTTAGGGTTTAGGGTCTAGGGTTTAGGGTTTAGGGTCTAGGGTTTTAGGGTTTAGGGTTTAGGGTTTAGCGTAACAATAGATATGCCTGAATGGAGCAAACATCGTCGCCAGTTTGGCACAAGGATGCGGATGAAGGGGTCGGCTTGAAAATTTAGCACCAAGTATACGTGGATTCAGATTTGAAAACGAGCCAGACATTCCCTAAGTCTGCATGTGCCTATATAGCATTTTTCCTACACCCTAAACCCTAAACACTTCGACCCCAAAACCCATACATCGGTAGTTCTCTAAAGTAGGGTCCCTTTTTAGGTCCCCAATATAGTACGGCACCCTTTAAAAACCCAAAAGGGACCCTAGTTTAGAGAACTCCCCACATGGAGCCGCAGGGGTTGACATGCAAAAACCCTGAACCCTAAACCCATAAACCCTAAACACTTCAACCCTAAAACCCCCATACATGGAGCCGCAAAGATTTGACATGCCAAAATCCCCGCCATGTCCTCTGCAGGCTCCAAAGGTTGCAGGACTCCGGCTGCCGCAGCCTCTTTCAAGACTCAAGGTTTAACGGTTTAGGGGTTTAGGGGTTTAGGGTTTAGGGCTTAGGGTTTTAGGGTTTAGGGTTTAATTTAAGGGTTAAGGAATGTTAAGGATTTAGGGTTTAGGGTTTAGGTTTTAGGGTATGGTTTAGAGTTTAGGGTCCAGGGTAAGGGTTGAGGGTCCAGGGTTAAGGGTCCAGGGTTTATGGGCCTGTTTCACAGTTTAGGAAAATATCGAAAGGCCTTACCTTGCTCGATGGGAAACAACACTAGAGCCGGACAACGCACTAAATCCTTAACTCGACGCCCCAAAAGCCCCAAACTGCAGCCCGAAATGCTCAACCTGAACTCAACCCTGAACCCTAAACCCTAAATCCTAAACCTAAACTCAAGCCTAAGCCCTAAACCTTAAATCCTAAACCTGAACTCAACCCTAAGGCCTTAGCTCTAAACCCGATGAAACCCCAAACCGCAAACCCTGAAACAAAAGCCTTTGAGCAGCACGCTGGGGCTATCGGAGTAAGTTCCTTCGTGCCTTTTTTATTTCACGGCTGAAGGACTGAGAAACTCCAACATCCCTTAATTAAGGAATATACCTTAAATTATAGTAGGATCCCTAATATGATTTAAGGTTTTTGCCTTGATTAAGGGATGTTGGAGTCTCTGAGATCTGCACGACTTGCGGATATTAGGCTTCCCCAAAGGGTTTTCATGGGCTATTCGTAGGAGTCATCAGCGGCTGACAGGCCTTAATAAAATACAAAAACCGTGTGTACGAAATTATGACGAGGTTTCGCAGGAGTTTAGGCGGGCTTCTGTAGGGTTTCGTTGTTCCTCTTCTCAGTCGACAAATCTCCTCTTGAAGGAGTACGTGCCAACTCATGTTAAGAAGGCTGATCGCAAACCGAGGAAGTACGCGGGGAAAAAACTGGGCTGGCAGGCTATGGTTCAAGAACTACATCATGTGAGGTTTTAGGGGGCGTAAGGTTTGCTTCCAGGTTTCAGGGTTTACGGGGCCTTCAGACTTAGAGTTTGAAGTAGATGTACTGTGCTCAACCTCTCTGGCTTCTTCAGTCTGGCTCTTCCTGTCCTGCAGCACCTTCTCTTAAACCCTAAACCCTCAACCCCTAAACCCTAAACCCCTAAACCCTAAATTTGAAGCAGGGCTCTGCAGGAAAGCCGCCTTGCACAGCACGGCCGACATCACCCCAGACCACGACCGATCCATCGCCAAGAATGGCAGCAAATGCGCCACTAGACGCTTGGATCTGCTGCACATTCTTCAGCTGGTCCTGCACAGCACTAGAGTCACCACCACTGTCAAAATCACCCCAGGTCACGACCGATCCA